TGGGTCAAAGTGTTGGTTATGTTAGAACTAGAAATTGTGTGCATAGTATCCATATATGCCCCAAACACGACCCGTGAAAGAAGGTCCTTTTTTGAAAAAATGGAAGCAATCCCTACCCCAGATGTCTCACTAATACTAGCGGGAGACTTCAATGCTGCACCGAACAGGTGGCTGGACCGATGGAAAGTTTTCCACACCACTGCACACAACGCAAAGGAGGACGAGTGGATGTTGAGGGACTTGTGCGCCCCCCCTCTTGCTTTTTGACACCTTCAGGCGTTGCTACCCCACTGAAAGAGCCTTTACTTGCACCCAAAACAATAACCCCACCAGACTGTCCAAATCGCGAATCGATCTAATCCTGGCTTCAGAGGAGTTGGGAGGGGGGCTCTCGGTGATGACAATTCTACCGACCAGCCCATATCTCGGGCTAGACCACAGGATGTGCATGGCGGTATAAACGTTTCGTAAACGGTCGGACCAGGGGGCCATTTACTATAAACTAAACACCTCCCTACTTAAAACCAAATCCTTTCAGAAGTACCTATAGCAGGCTTGGGACTTCTGGAAAGACCACCGCTCTGAACAAGAATCACAAATTGTTTGGTTTAACAACGGGCTGTTTTTTATGGCAAAAAAAAAACAACGAATATTCCAAATATCTAGTTGCCCAGAGATACCAGCAAGAAGTCACAATTATGCAAAACTTAGTGAATGCAGAACAGGAGCAAAATTCGCAAGGGCAGGAACAGAGGACCGTTGAACTACAAACTCGCATACAAGAATCGAAAGATCAACTTTTCAACCTTGTCCCCAGGTGTTAGCGGTGTGTGTTTTATCAACATTGCTAGCACTGGAGGGAGCTGTGTTTTGTTTAAAAAAAAAAAAAAAAAAAAAAAAAAAAAAAAAAAAAAAAAAAAAACATGCACAGTATCGTTGGCAAGGAGCCCAAACAAGGGCAAGGCTATCCATATTCTTTACTGAAGGGGCGATGGACTCTCACTTCTTCAGCTTGGCTAGAGCACAAATCCAAAGAACCACAATCGAAGCACTTTATGAACCTAATGTCAGGTAATCAGACTTGGCCGTAACCACAGCCCGTTGCACAAAGATAACATATGCTTTCTACAAATATTTTTTTTCTTCTCACATAGACAAATCGGATGCACCACAACACGATCGTCTAATAAAGGAATTCTTGGAACCAGTTAACAAAACATTAACATCTGAACAACGTGACTCCCTAGAAGCCTCACTCTCCAAAAACGAGATATGGACCGCCCTCCTGCAAATGAAGGAGGAAAAGGCCCCCGGGATAGATGACTTTCCCAAAGAGTTATGGGAAACCACATGGGACTGTATGACGTCATGGATTTCTAAAACGAAGTATGACTCACAGGGAAGATGGGAGAAAGGGTGGGGCAAGGGATATTAACCCTCTTATATAAAAAAGGGGATAAGATGGATATCAGAAACTACAGACCAATAACGCTCCTTACAGTAATGTACAAAATGATGTCCAAAGCCCTGACAAACAAAATGATCTCAGTAATGGAGGACATCATCCATCCCGCTCAAACCGGCTTCATGGAAAATAGGAATATACAAGAAAACATCCTGTTGATCCATGAGATCCTCCAGCTCACGAGACACTCCCGTCAGAATGCGGCCTTAGTCTTCATCGACTTCGAAAATGCCTATGACCATGTGGATACACCAAAACGCTACTACATGCTTTCAAGTCAATGGAAGTTTTGCGCCACCCCTACACTTGGAGCGATCGGTCCGCCAGGGGGATCCGATCGCTCCCTTCTTTTTCTTGGTCATTATGGAGGCACGAGCCGTTAATATTCGGGCAAACAAAAATATTACTAAAATACGAGTCACAAGCATCCCGGAGGACGCAATCCCGGTGTGTTCCTTGTTCGCGGACGATCTCACCATAATGGCAGAGGCCACACACCGGAACATGGATGAAATCCAACAGATGATGGAAAAGTTTGTCAAGGTTTCCGACATGACAGTTAATTGGGGATCCAAGACACAAGGTTGGTGGATTCACTACCAAGGGGGACGTCCTCCAGAATCACCACACGTTGCATGGATGTCATTAGAATCCCCGATAAGAATCCTATGGGTATCCATGACCACAAAGGGACGGTCACCAATCAATGACAAGTGGATCAGCACCCCGGCCCAACACAAACTAAACAACTAGAAAAACAAACACACATCCCTTCTTGGTCGAGCACTAGTGCTTAACAATGCAATTTTTGCAACACTATGGTACAAGTCCTTGTTGTGGCCATTGAGCAAAGTCGCCCTGAGGAGTCTAAGGAAAAAGGCGGCGGCTTTCCTATGGAGGGGGGATGAAGAGCAGACCAATGCAATAAGCCGAGTGGTCTGGGACTCAATTATCCAGTCGAAAGTAGGAGGAGGTTTGAGAATACTTGATCCGACCACGCAAGTGCAGGCATTACGAGTGAAATGGATAAAAAAGCGTATCTTTGCCCCTCAAAGCCCGTGGTGTGTTCTGACTCTAGAACATTTGGCCGGGCTGGCCCCGACAACCCCCCACACGATCCGTCCACTGACCTGGTTGGAGGACCGTTTTTTAACGATTCCACGCAAGCTCCCACATGGAAGGGAGGGGCCATAAGGAGGTGGTCAGACGCTGGATAAATTTTGATCATCCCTGCTGCAAACCTGGCGTAAACTTCCGCTCCCAGACAGGACCCACCCCAGCCGGTGGGAGGAGGTCCACCGTCAACCCCTCTTTGGGAATAGATGGGTGACAGACACGAGGGGTTGTGTCATGACAAGCTCATCCCTGCCCTGGAAGAGTTGGGTTAAACATGGTGTACTTAGGGTAGGGGGCCTTTGGGACGATGAAAGGCAGGACTGGAAACCAAGGGACCAGTTGCGAGCAACATTAAGATACTGCCATCACGTAGAGGAGCTATTGGGAAACCTTATTGAAGCCATCCCATTGGAATGGTACCGGATCCTCAAACGTGGCCCCACCTTGAGAGAAGGAGACTGGGTGGCAAGCACAGGGACCCCGCTGAGGATTGGCCTGATACATATGGTTGCACCCCAAACAGTCCTGGTTGAATACTACACTATCACCAAAACAGGCACCCTCCAAGGGAGTAGAGCACCCTTCGAATGGAGAGATAGAACGTCAGTGCACCAAGTGAGAGTTAGAAGAGAAGGGACAAAGGGTGGCGTTCCAGTCATACAAACCAATCCAGGACCTGGCTCTGGACCCGGTGGAATGGACTTGGCAGCCCGCCCAAAAGAAGGGAGCTCCCAAGATAGGTCACATTAGCCTGCACCAGCTAACGGTCAAATCAGCCTACAAAATGCTCAGACCTAAACGGTACCTGAGGGATATGATTAACGACAGATGGGCCAGACACCTGAATGTGGACCGCACCCTCCTGTCACCAATCCAATGGTTAAAGGAACAAAAGTATAAGCCCATGAAAATCACCTCCGTGCAGTGGCAGATAGCCCACCACTATCTGCCAACCAATGACTGGTTGACAGACCACACAGACCTCGAACAAAGAGGTCTATTGCTCCCATGGTGCCAGCGGTGTCAAAGCCTTTTCGCCTTTTCCCCTCGCATAAAAAGGCGGAATCCATTGAACATATTTTTATGCAATGTCTGATTGCACATTTCATATGGAGATGGTGGGACCGTAAATGACGAAAAATGGTACCAAACATTCCCTGGCCCTGGTCATGGCAGACCAGATTGGCTGGGCATTGGTCGCTGGCAGGAACAACCACGACCTTTGTAGAGAACATGTACAGACTGGGAAGAAAGGCGGTGATATGGGCACTCTGGTGGCAAAGATGCACCCTGGCCATGGAGAAGGTATGAGTGGAGGGGGCGGAGATCACAGAACAGATTCAGCAGCAGGTACACCTCGAACTCACACGTAGATGGCTGGACACAAAAGCACAATTAGATCTCTTCAGACAACTTGGAGACGTTAAAAGACGGATTACGACATTTTGCACGGACTGGGTAGGAGGGGAAAGAGAAGGATGGATTGCAAAAGTAGAATGGAGTGGCAACAAAGGAGAAGGGTTGCGCAACCTGGAAGAAATGAGAGACTACCGTCTAGTGTTCAGGGACTGGACTAACATAGAGCCCTCATTCCCATTACGCCCTCCCTCGGATTTTCCTGATCCCTTCCCACCCCACGCCCTATCACTGGCAGAAATTTTGTCATGAATGTGATTCCGATAATTGGATCTCCTTCACATCCTTATAGGAGCCCACATGTGGAACTCCTCCCTGGAGCCCCCTGGGGAAGACTCTGCTAATTTTCTCTCCTTTAGTATAATCAGTTGAGGTAGTCAATGCTGGCAGCTCGGGTATCCTGAGCAATCTGTGACATTGGGTAGAGCCTGGAGTTTTTTCTGAATAGTATCAGCCCTTAACTACTCATTTGGCGCCCTCCTTCTGGGGGTGAGGAGATACAGAAGGCGATGGCATTGCTCCAAGCTCACAAACGACTACACTACTGGACACTCTACAGGCCTGCTTAGTCAATCCCCTGGGTCACAGGGCAATCAATGCTGGCAGGTCCCACAGTCACTGTCCTCATTTTTCTCAGACATCCTCAGACACTCTCCTTTCTGTATTTGGGACGCTGGACCCGTTTTCCAGCAGGTGTCGCTCCCCACCAATAGATGGAGCCTCTCCCCAAGTGTTAGTGGTGTCTGCTCTTATCAGCAGCACTAACATTGGTGGGGGTGTTTGTTTCAAAAAAAAAAAAAAAGGTTTAAACCACAAGTACACGGATGGCCCCAGCCTTGCAGTCCACTCTCCTTCTACGGCGCAACCCCCTCCCCCGCCCATTCATCGTCTGCATTGCAACCTGCACCCGAGGGCCCGCCTTGGATGGCCTTCCTCTTCTTGTGGACGTTGTGTTGGCTCTTTCTCTCCCACACCGGCACTTCCATTGCCTAGTTGGTGGCGGTCTTGCCACGTCCAACACCACGGGACGACATGACACAAAACTCAACCGCTCGTCGACTGACCAATCGCGAAGCCGAAAGCTCTGCGGCGATGGCGAGGACTGAATTGGTGCTTCGAAAGGTCGAAGATGACTACGATGGCGACGATTGCGATGATGGCAAGGATGGCGACAACGACCCGGAAGGCGACAATGGCGGACACGACGACGACGGCGACGATGGCGATGCAAAAGAAAAGCACGTGGCGCAGTCCACGGCGATCGAGCTGACGATGGCGATGATGGCGACGAAGATGACGGCCGCGATCACGCTGACGATGGCGATGATGGCAACGAAGATGACGATGGAGGTGATGGAGACGAAAAGCAAAGATGACGAGGATGGCGACGTTGTGTTGTCGACTCAACGACAATCACTTGCACGTTTCGCGGCAGGATGAGGGCGGTCTAGTGCGCGCGCAAGGTGGCGACCCCGCTGGAAGGCGAGGATCGTCGAGGGTGGTGGAGTGCAACGGGCGACTAGCTTTGTTTCGCAGACAAGGCGATGCGCGGGCAGGAGGCAGGAGCAGGCGAACGCGAAGGCGAGACGGCGAGAAGGCTGGCGTGTGGAGTCTGAAGCGGGCGTGTGGAGTCTCGTCGTGCATTTAGCGAGGACGCCCGCATCCTCTCAAATATGTGCGCGGCGGTTTGCATCTGTATGTCCATTCAACGGGGAACGGGTTTTGTACAACGCCGTTGTACCCGTTGAACACCCCCGGGGTCCCCGTTGAATCCCCGTTGAACGGTATAACGGGGGCTTCCCGTTGATTTCCGATCAACGGGTCGAGCGCAATGGGGCTCGGACACGTGGCGGGACACGAGTGGAATAAAAAAAACTAAAAAAACTACCCTCTATGTGTGTGTGTGTATGTGTGTGTGTGTGTATGTGTGTGTGTGTGTCTTCATGTGTGTGTGTGTGTGTGTGTGTGTGTGTGTGTGTGTGTGTGTTTGTGTGTGTGTCTGTGAGATTGGGTGGGGG